CAAATATAGTAATACTAATTACTTTAAAGTGAAATCTGGGAGTGCAATTTCTGTTTATATACTTATTGCACTTATTAATGTATATGTTCCATTGAATTGGAGAAATTTATTTTTGAAAAAGAGTAATATAATACAGTATGGGGAAACAATATTTACTTTATATGGTTCAGGTTCATTTGAACTTTAGAAGAGCCGAATTAGAATCATTAGCTGATCTATTTGGAATCACATCCATCAACTTCGATAATTATTCAGAAGACTCGCCATTTTTTAAGGTAGAACTGGATAACGATGAGCAAGCTAGAGATTGGATCAAAAGATCAATATTGACAAGAGCTATTTACGAATACTGGGGTGAAGGTGAAAATATGGATCAATTGCATACTTCTATACAAAATCAACCATTTTATGAAGAGAATAAAGAAAAATTTGCTAATGATACATTTAAATTTGACTTTGAATCTTATAGAGGTTATGGTAAGTTTGATAGAGTAAAACAAATTGAATCTTTTGGGTATTTGGCTTTTAAAGGTAAGATTAGAATGAAGAATCCACAACAAGTGTATACTTTAATTGATGAATATGTGCCAATTTCGGAAAACATTGGTGGCATAGTCCCAATTAAATATTATTTTGGTAGACTAATTCAACATGGTAATAGACAAGCTGTTGAAAAATATGATTTAAAGAAAAGACCATATAAGGGAACAACAAGTTTCGAAGCAGAATTATCACTAGTTAGTGCGAACATTGCTCAGGTAAAACCTGGTACTTTCATGTATGATCCATTTGCAGGGACAGGTTCTTTCTTGGTAGCTGGTGGCCATTTTGGTGCTTTGGTCATTGGCTCAGATATAGACGGAAGAATGATTAGGGGAAAAGGTGCCTCAGTAGATATTGGTTCAAATTTCAAGAAATATGGCGAAAGTGAAAGATTTTTGGATGTCCTAACAATGGATTTCACACATAATGCATTGAGATCAAACTTAGTTTTTGATACTATTTTATGTGATCCTCCATATGGTATTAGAGAAAGTATAAAAGTGCTAGGTGCAAAAGATCCTGAAAAATTTATAGGGAAAGAGAATGTAGAAATTGATGGAGAAAAGGCATTCTTGAGAAAAGATTATATTCCTACCAAAAAACCTTATTCCCTAGATAGTCTTTTGGATGATCTGTTGGAATATGCTTCTCAACGATTACCAATAGGAGGAAGATTAGCATTTTGGATGCCTACTGCTAATGACGAAGATGTAGAAACTGTTATTCCTTTGCATTCAAATCTGGAATTGAAATATGATTGTGTCCAAGAATTTAATAAATGGTCTAGAAGATTGTTGGTTTATATAAATAGAGGCAAAGGTTATGACGGTACCACAAATTCAGGTCTACAGCGATCAACCGCCAACTTTAGAGACAGATATTTTACTAATTTTAATCAGAGCCAAAAATAAAAAAAAAAATATAAAAGAAAAATATTACAATTTAATATACTTACATAACTTTGTATGTACATAGAGATAGATCTGTATATTTAAATGTTGCCTTGATGGTTTAATGTTATATTCATGAAAAATTGTTATGCACAGCATGAAGGATAGATATTCCAGTCATTGCCATTATTGTCCTTATTTGGTTTTGTAATATCGATGATTTTACCTTTTTTTGGGAAAACTTTATCTATTTCCTCCTCTGTATTATTAGAATTATCGATATCATTATTTTTATTATTATTATTATTATTATTATTATTACTTATTTCGTTATCAGTTTCCACAGTTTCCATGTTTTCCTTCTTTTTATGTCGATTACGTATATGTGAATCATCATTAGAAATATGATCGTTATCTGAATCACTTTCAGAAACCATATCATTGTATTCTTCAGAGTTATTAATAATTTGAGAGTTTGTTTTTCCCAAATTTGTCTTAATACTAGGATTGTAAACTTTAGAATCCTTAGAATAATTGTCTTTTGGATCGGGTTCTGATCCTGATCCTGATCCTGATCCTGATCCTGATCCTGATTCCAATTTTGGTCCTGTACTTGGTTCCATTGAGTTTTGTTTTTCCTTGAAAGCTTGAATTTTCTCAGTTTGAGCACCAATAAGAAAACGATCGGATTCATTTGAATCTCTTAAAGTTTCTTCGATATTTTCTTCTTTATCGTCATAGCAACCATTTTCTACTAGATCTTTAATTATTAGATTGAATGTTCTTTCTACAACGTTTGGCCATTTACAAGTTACCTCAAAATTACCTGCAATTTTGATTTCGTATTTAAATTCAATTTCATTCATTGCTTCTAATACATCTTCATGGGTAACTTGCCTTTTTTTATATACATCCAATTTATTACCTATGAAATAAAATCTCGTTCTAGATAAATCTTCTTTTGATAAATTCTTCATTGTATCGGATAGCCAATGATCACAACAATTTCTAAAACTTTCTTTATCACAGATATCATATGTTAAGAATATCCCATTTGAACCTTTAAATAAAGATGGTAACATGGCATTTTTGTATCTTTCCTGACCAGCGGTGTCCCAAGTTACACATTTAAAAAACCTATAGTCAATACTAATCGTTGTTGTCTTAATATCAATACCGATAGTAGAGGATGTATCTATAATAAGCTCATCATTATCTCCTATATTTTCTTCTCCATCTATATTTGAGAATTTACTGGATAAATCTACGTCGTCATTAGTAGGTGATTTCTTATTAAATAATTCTTCATAATCATTTAAACTATATCTCTTTCTCATTGATTGTAATGATGTTTTCTTCCGCAACCTATTTTTATTTGATGCTGATATTCGATTAAAATCAACACTGTTTTGTTTCTTTTGGCTATCTGTTGACGACACCTCTTCCATTAATTTGTATTGAGCCTTCGTGGGAAGTTCTTCAAAAAATGCCATGATCATAGCAGTTTTCCCAACACCAGCATCACCAATCAATAATAACTTGATTGTTGATGTTGCAGCTGGAATAGAATCCATAGACAAATGTGCTAAGTTTTTTGACGATATCCTATAGAAAGAGGAAGGTCGAGAAGTACTAGATCGAGGGTCATTAAGCCCATCTATTCCCAATCCTAATGAGCCTGATGAAAAGTTCCTTGCAGAATCTAACAATGGTGTCCCTGGAAGAGACATTGAAGTATCTTGTCTATCATTTGATGGGTATATCGGCAGTATTGGCGACAACGAAGCCGCAGGAAGGTTAAGTGAGTATCTCTTCCTCTTTGACATCTTTATAATCTAACTATCACTTATCCTGATGGCTAGTTTCCTATTCTTCTGACCAGATCAGACCTTTGTTAACAACTACCTTTATATGTTAATTTTAGCAGATCTTGATGTAATTTTTAACATAACCCAAATTTTGTTCGAATTTTTCAATGCGCTACGTTTTAAGATTCGAAAAGCAAAAAAAAACAGATGAACTGAAACAATTTTCGACGCGATGACGATGGGATGCCTTCTGATGTATGGAAGCTATGTCACAGCAATGTTTGGCAAGATGTTTAGGATGAAAAGGACATTTAGATTAAGGAAGACTACTTAAGTACTTGAAGTTGGGTTGCTGTTATTACAAAGATTAGTTTCTTGTATTGTTTAGTCTAATTGTGTTTTGGTGAAGATCTGATAGACCTAGAAGGATCTAACGTTGTAAGGTGGATATTTACTGTCGTCTATTAATAGTAATAAGATAGAAGCAAGTATTGGAAACCCTTTTTACTCTTTTCTTATTGCGACAATATTTCTAATTCTTATTTTTCTTGCATATGACTTGGATAAAGTTAGTGTTTATTGAAATATCTATAATGGACGAAATTTCCCGGATATGTGCCTAATCCAGGAATCATTATAGATATTGGGAAATTATAATGTTAAATAATTTCAAATAACCAAAATTAGCTTTCGAATATTGTTGTATTGTATTTCATGTTAATAAAAACCTGTATCTACTATACTAATTGTTTTCCAAAATAAAAGAATTTTTTATGTTCAGTCAATTTGCATTGTTATTTAAACATTTTTATCCTGACATAAATATAAAAAGTACATTAAAGATCTATTTTCTATATGCTAATAATGCTACATTTTCCAAAGAGATGGAAGGTTCTACATATCTTATCAGTTCTACTTTGAATGATTCACCAAGTTTTTGTTGCAGCCAATCACATCTACCTTGATCTATCACTCTTCTTGCCATTAAACCCAATTCCTGACGTTCTGTATAGGGCAAGTTGGTGAAATGTGTATTATTTTCATCTGATGAGGTTGGTCTATCACCTGAAGTAGCCCAAGCAGCAATTTTTGTTAGAGCGTGGAAGAATTGGTCGTATGGTAATTGTTCTTCAGTATTTGTATTTCCAATGATTGATTTAACAAAATCTGGGTTTACGTAATTGTTGGAGTTGCAGACATGACGACAACACATTGCAATACAGACACCTTGCAAGAAATCATTATCATCTGGGTTGTAGGTTAAGGATCGTAGAGTTAAATCTGTTGCTACACCACATAGATGTTTCGAGATTGCAATATATTTTGAATCCTTTTGTAATAATGGATCAATTTTTAAATCTTTGATATCGATTCTAATTCTTGTGATGGTTGGAGGATTTAAGTTTTGATTGAATTCCAAAGCATCCTTTTTCATTTTTGTATCGAATTTCATTCTATTTGTAGATCTATCAATCAATATGAAATGTGGGTTATATATTTTTTCTTCGGAGTTTTTAATTACTACTTGATTAACGTAACGAGATAATTCTGCTCTCCCACAACCAAATTCTATGAAATTTGCCAATGAATTTTCCTTAAATTGCAAAATATTTCTATCTATCATGTTTTGTATCAATGAGGATTGTTGAATAGCGTGGTATTTTTTACCTATATTATCATTTTCGTTTAATTGTGGGAATCTTTTATCTTCCATTGTGTGATTCTTTCTAATATCTAGTGGTACATTGGATAGATAGTTTTTTTCATCATCTTTGAAGAAATTTTTTAAAACTGGTATAGTTTTCATTATCCAATTTTGCAATGAATCTTTTGTAATTACAGTTGTGTTTGAATCTTCTGTTGTAATTGCGTTACAATCTTTTAGGAAATATGGTTTATTATCATGTTGATGAATCAATTTCAGTTTATTACATTTTTTCAAGTGTGAATCGAGATCTGATTCCCAAACGGTATGGTTTGGATCTAGTGGACAAGGGATCCTTTTAGTGTTTTCATTTAGAATTTGATGTTCTGAACAATATTTGGAAGACAAGTTACGAGACATACCACATCTTCTTTTTTTCTTTTCCATGTAAAATTCGCATTGCAATCTTTGTTTTTTTGATTCTGGTTGCATGGTTATTATACTATTTTTTATTTTTTGATATATATTTGAGTATCCACTTCCAATAGAAGATGTAACTTAGTATCTGAAGTCATCTCATCACCATTATAACTCTATCACAATTTTTTTTTAACATCTTTTCAAAATTCTTAGTTAGTTAGTTAGCTAGATCAATTTCGAACGAAACTGGTAGGGAAAAAGAAAAGAAAAAACAAAAGAGACCCGTAATTACCCTACACTAGCGCTACCTGCTGTGGAGTTTCGTTCGAACAGATGTACAAATCACATGACCAGGAACGTATTTGTAGTGAACGGACGAATTCCACGGAAAACGATCAAATATCGAACTATCCCCGGAACAACAAAATGCATTCATCTACTCATATGGACCAAGTGGAAAAAAGAGAGATCAGACTCGGACACACACAAACACACTCTTGTGATCCACACCCACCCAAGAATACCACAGAGATTATAATACGAGAAGGATGCGGTACAGCTATACTAATAATTTCATTGTTTTCTCGCGCCTCACCTTCTCTCTCTCTCTCTCTCTTCCCCCTCCCCTCCAGCTTCCAATCTTGTTTCGTTCTGTTTCGTTTCGTTTCGTTTCGTCCCTTTGCCTCGCGTGCCAGCCCCTCATTTTGATAGCACCGCCATCAGCAGCGAGCGTCAGGCACGAACCAAAAGAGAGCTTTCGAAACAAAGTCAGAGAGCAGAGCAGAGCAGAGCAGAGCAGAGCAGAGCGTATGTGTACTCGCATACGGCTGAACACAAGCACAGTTTTTAGAAAATCCCCGTAACTCCGGTTACGAAACAGTACGAACACATCTCTTTTCAATGAGGTATTTCGGCCGATGTGGGATGGTCAGTTTGGGTCTCGTGAGCTGTGGATTCCTCAACGAGTCCAGCCCCACCCACCCCGGTCCCCAGTCCGCCTCTTTCACCTCCCCCCGGGGAAAACACACACCCAAAATGAAAATGAAAATTAAGATTGGAAAGCCAAGCCAAGCCAATTTAGATTTGAGAAATAGGAGGGGGCTAAACCCCGGGTGAGGGATAGAGAGACACACAGACAGACGAGACGGCCATACGATGCAAGGACAAGGATACTGACTGACATACACATACACAACATACACACAAAAGACGAAATGAAATTCCTTTTATTTCTCATCATTCTTTCTTCCGAACCTAACCTGCAAACCTGATCGTAATCGAACTATAGCTATGGCTATAGCCATAGCTATAGCCATATACCCACCCACAAACACACATACATCTCCTATTCTCCGGGGTACATCTCCCATTTTCTGCCCAAAATTCAAATCCAAGTTTATACCCGGAGGTCATCCCCATCCCCAAAAAAGAAAAAACAGATAAACTTAAAACTCGCCTCCGCCATACCACTCCCTCCCTCCCTCCCTCCCATTCTCTTTTTTAGTTCTTTTACTATATGTCTTTTGTACCCTTTGGTTCTACACCTATTAAATTTATATACACCGGCGATTATTATACTATATTCTATTATCTTATATTATCTGATCTCAAACGCATCTTCATTCATATATAAACATCACATCAAAAAAAAATAAATTAGTTCATCCTAAATTTTGGTTTTTTCTTTCGTTTCGTTTTGGTTCTGGTTCTTTCAAATGTTCCTTCCCTTACAAATAATACCATATAGTATCATCCTGTACTATTTTACTACATTTTTTTCAAACAATTACAATTCTTTAAATATGCCAATTCCTACTAATTCCAAGTCAAACCAAGTCAAAATTACTGTCATTGGTGCCGCAGGTGGTATTGGTCAGTCTTTATCCCTACTGTTACGTACTTCCCTACAGAACAACAATGACAACCAATTGCATCTAGCTCTTTTTGATGTTAACATGAAGGTTCTAAACGGTGTTCACGCAGATTTGTCTCATGTAAACACTAATATGAAGTTGTCCCTACATGACAATTTACGTGATTCATTAGTCGATTCAAACTTGGTCATTATCCCAGCTGGTGTACCAAGAAAACCAGGTATGACAAGAGATGATTTATTCAACATTAATGCTGGTATCATTAAAGGTATCGCTCAAGAGTTGAACACTATCGATTCTACACCATTTGTTTTGTTAATCTCAAACCCTGTAAACTCATTGTTACCAGTATTACAATCTGTCCTAAACGACGTCTATTTGGGTAGATGTTTTGGTATCACAGAATTAGATTTAGTTCGTGCTTCCACTTTTGTCAACGGTTTCATGGATAACAGTGCATCATCTTCAAACGAAATGCCTTATGTCCCAGTAATTGGTGGCCATTCAGGTGATACCATTTTACCTGTTTTATCAAATTGTTCCTTTAACAACTCTACTTTTTCTGCATATGATTTGATCTCTGATGACGTCGCCATTAAAAAATTAGTTCACAGAATTCAATACGGTGGTGATGAAGTTGTACAAGCAAAAGATGGTATGGGTTCAGCCACTTTATCAATGGCTTATTCCGCTTTCTTAGTTGCCAAGAAATTCGTACAATTATTAACAAATCAAGTCTCTTCTATCGATGGCATCTTCTACATCCCATTAACCACTAAGGACTGGAACTCTCCATTGGTCGACAACGCTCAATCAGTTCTACCTTTAGTACAAAACGTACCTTTCTTCTCTATCAAATGTACAGTTAACTCTAAAGGTATCTCTCAAATTGACCCAACTTTGGTTCAAAATTTGAACAACTACGAAAGAGAATCTCTTTTGCCAACTGCCTTAAACCAATTACAAGCAAATATTGATACTGGTTTAACCTTTGCATCAAAATGAAAAAAAAAATAAATAAAAATACAAACTGAAATAACGTACAAACAAAAACAATACTCTTTAATGAACAAATATCATCATAACCCATCATCACCATCAACCCTCGTTCTCTAATCCAATCCTAACCATTCCATCCCCATTTATAACTCAGGAAGGCTTGTGTCTAGAGAAATGGTAGTCGTGAGGTTCATTTCGTCATCATCATTCATCAATCTATCACCTTAGTTACGTTGATCGTCACACGTGATACTCACTTTTTTCAATATTGCACTCATCACATACTATTTTCTATTATCCATCATCCCCTTCCCTAACATTTTATTTAATTTTATTCATTTTTTAAACATATATAAGTATGTCTCATGTTCATAACTAGTAATAATATTCTATATTTTTTATCATTCAACTCAACAGAGTAAACAACTAGCATTTTTTTGATAAAAAAACAGGTACATATATAAAAATATATTTTACATATATAAAACAAAGTTGCTATCTGTACTCAATAGCTATCACTGGCAATATATAAAATAATGCAATCAAATTACGATATCACAACGACTCAGCAGCTCCCTGATGATTTTAAATATTCTGTAAAAGTCATCTCATGTGAGCCAGAAATCAGATCAAGATTCCAAAGAAAGGTTTATTCTTTACTATCTATTCAACTGCTCTGTACTTTCATATTCTCTTTATCTGTCATCCAATACAAGACACTACAGGTTTTCATCACTACTCATCTTGGATTATGGTTTTTAGCATTATTCATTTCGATGGTATCCTGTATTTGGTTATCTGTTGTACCAAATATCAATGATATGCCTTTAGATAATGAAACTCTATTGGATAATGATAACAATAACGATATTTCAGCCAGAAGAAAAGTCCCATGGTACTATTTACCCTCTAGAGGTTCCCAACTGTTAATGTTGATGATATTCACTTTAGCTGAATCATATACATTGGCACTTGTAACGCTATCGTATGATTCAGACACTGTTTTGTCTGCATTGCTGATCACCGTTGTTGTGGTAGTAGGTGTCACCGTGTCTTCTTTATCACCTTTGTTTCAAACTTCCATGCAAACGATGAGCTCAATCTATTACTGGTTGAACTGGGCTCTATGGTTCCTAATAGGGTTGAGTTTTGCAACTCTCTTCTTTGGTATTAGTGAAAACTTCTCAACTATGATATTTGGATGGTTGGGCGCTTTTGTCTTTACTATCTACTTATTCGTCGACACACAACTGATCTTTAGAAAATGCTATATTGACGACGAAATTAAGTGTTGTATGATGCTATATCTTGATATTATCAACTTATTCATTTCGATTCTAAGGATTGTGGGAAGCAATGATGACAATTAGGGATATCGTCATAGCTTAAATAAAATTACGTATACATCAGATTAACTATATATTCTTCTACATTGTGTAAGTTTTTTTTAATACAACATTTGAATTATAATGTGCAGACGTTCTATTTACATGTCCTATTTAATTTTACCCTTTAACTCATTGTTTGGTTATTGGTAAAAGTTAGAGTTATTCTAAAATCCTAAGAATAATAATAATATATATGTATGAATGAATGTATACTGATGGAAGAGAGGGAGGGGTACAAGGTTGTAAGACATTCGAAAACCATGTAGATGATAATGATATGCAGGAAAACCTTCACAGTCTTCTGACTCTTGGAGATCTAACACCACCGAATTTCAATGCTGTCTTGTCGCTGATTCTTGTAACGTTTGACCTTACACCATTACCTTCTTTACCGGTCAAAGCAGCAATGAAAGCAGCACGACCTTTCCCGAAATCTTTCATTACTATTTCAATATTTTTATCCAATAAATTTTTCTCTTGAATCATTTGGAATGCCTTTGCAGAGGTTTGAAAAGCAGCTTCATATTCACCTCTTGCAGCTTTTCTAAAACCTAAACAACCTGTGGAAATATTAAATTTCACCTTTTGAGGTAGTTTCATATAATATAGGAATGCTTCATTATACTTGGACGTATCTTGACGTTTCATGTAATTAATATCTTCAACAACAGCACTATAAGTTATATGTGTATTATTCTTACCAAAAACACATGTTAATACGTATTTGACCGTTCTATATACAGGCTTCAAATTAGTTTTTGAAACACCTACGACGTTGGTAAGTTCTCTTTCTTTACTATTACCAGCAACGACGTGACTGAAAGATAATGAATTATTACCAATAGATCTAATAGAGGTTGTATTAATACCACATTTATCTCTTATAATTGACAATTTAGAAGAACCAATTTTAGAAGTCCCTAATCCTAAAAACCTTCTAGCTCCAAACATTGTTCAAATTGACACAGATAACAGGATGGTAATAGAGATATGGGGTGATGTTGAATTGAGATCACTTACAAAAACACCATCTACTTTTTAAATTCAGTCAAATCTACCAATATCATCTTTAAAATATTCAGCGTTATATCTGCTATTACTACAAATAATTGAATCAGATAAATTTTTGATATGGTGAAGAAAGTTGAAGAGAGGGTAACATACGTTAATAACGACAATACGATATGATATACCGATTGTCACGTGCTATCAAACTTTTATTTTCGCCCACAAAAGCTCGAAAGTAGGGTAAATTACCGGTAAAATGATGGTGAATATAAAAAAGCCCACCTCACATTCATCACTCAAATATTTTAAAATTAATATTGAAACACTATAGATTTCAAGATCACCGTATCTAATCATATTATTAATAACAGTTTAAACGTTCATATGTTCAACCTTGTCCACTACTTACCTACAATATAGACATATCTTAAAATCGATTTAGAAAAACCTCAATACTAACAGACATCTCAATGGTCGCCTTGTCTCTTTCATACTATATGGAACCAATAATAAGTAAATGAGACAATGGTTTAATCATAATAATAGTATTGTCTTCCATATAGAATTCAATTGTCTTTGTAAATACAAATTTTACACATATACAGAATTTCTCCTTTTCCCCTTGATACATGTAAATGCAGTTTACAGAACCAGCACAATGTCATCCTTTATATCCACCATCCTCATATACTTGACAGTTCGTTTTTTTTGTTAGTCAAAAGTTGTTAAGTATAGTTTATTATATATATACTTTATTGTTCAAATATTTAACCGCCAACGATCAGATTTATATCTCCCTAACATTTAGGGGAAAAGAGACAGTAAAAATTGGGTACCCTGCGCATATCACATGACATTACCAAAGTCCTGTAACCCTCCCTAGAGTTGGCGGGTTTCCCAAAGATGAGGAAAATGGAATGGAAACAAAATCTTTCAGTACAAATGGAAAAGGTAAACCTATTATTTCCTTAATGAACCACATCCCCAAGAATTCAAAAGGACAGGGCAACCCCACGAGGCTTTAAACTCTTCCAAACGGATCGGGGCTTGGCCTAATCAAAATTTAGTGCCATAAAAAACGGGAAATGGCGGAGAATCCAATTTGCGGTTTTTTTTTGAATTTAGAACCCAATTTGAAAATGGAGAATTGGGCTTACACCCCTAACATTGGAATTC